TAAAGTTAAAATAATTTCAATTCTCACTCTATAAATTATTAAGACGTGCATCTGACGTTTTGGAGTAACAATTACTGTACTTGTTTGCCGACGCACCATTGAAGCGCGCAAAAGCAGAGAGTAACTCAAACTGGATTTACTCGGAAGCTTCGGAAAGTCAGTATTATAGTCGAGAGTCTCTTGTTTCGTAGCCATGGCTTAATCTAATTCGACTATTTGCCCCAGCTTCTATCTGCGGATTAACGACTACTACTCATACTACTACTACTACTTGGAGTCCAGTGCGCGCTATATTATGTCCATGCGCTTTCGCATTTAATGCCTAACGGATGACTAACTTTTCGCCATGTGGGAAGCTGCAGCTCGCACAAAGCACTATACGATCGCTAAAAGCATTGGAAAATGCGCTGCATGTTTCGAGTCTGCTGGTCGAATACATCCCCACGTATGTATAGAATCAGTATTTAGTATAGTTCGATCCGGGCTGCTCTTCGGCCGCTGATTTTTGCCACTGGGAGTTGTGCGGGGAGTTGGGCGTGAGAGGGTCTTAACAGAAAATCCATACGTACGTATAGGAACTCGCAGAGCACACCATTAAAACTGGACGAACTTAATCGACGCAGCCGCTTAAATAAACTCGCGCCGTTTGAGGCTATTTCAATGGGTTCTCTTTTACCAAGCCGGGCGTTTGGCGCTTGGTTTTACGCTTCGTGGCGCGCTCCAGTACAGTACTTGTACGAGAAATCCTCTTCAACGCGCCAATATAATCAACTTTTTGCCCCCCGCGCGACTCTACTCCACGCAGCAGCAACTTTTATTACATTACATACATGAATAACATTTTTTTTAACACGCGTGTGTGTACATGAAGCCGCTGTCTTCCTCGCAGCGTATACTCTTCTTATCAATTGCGATCTTGAATAAGCTTTACTCGTTTCAGCTACTGGTTTTTATAATTTATAAATGCTTTTATCTCGCGCGTTGCTTCTCTAGCAAAAAGAAGAAAAAACCTTTGGCGATGAATGAAAAGAAGCGTTTTGTTGCGGGTGCCAGACGCATATTATATTATACTATTGTGACAGCTATGAGATTTTCACATTATATGTCGCAATTATTATGCATGACGTTGAATTTTTTCTTGGCCAAAGACCTCCGCTAGATTCACATATATATCACATTAATTTTTTTCCATTTCATCAGCTATAAGCATTTAAATTCGTTGCTCCGGTGAATACGAATTATATTCACGCGTGTGTAAATTCACGGAATCGTAATCTTCCTTTGCTTTCGTTTCATTAGACGATAATAAAAAAAAAGGATATTAAAAGCCGCACGGCTTGCAACCGAAACCACAGTCTATACTATAGGCAGGATAATTTGCTCGTCTAAGCAATTCGCTCGGAAGCTTCAATATCAATGATCCATCAATCCTGGCCCCGCAGCTCGGACGCGATCTCTTCCGCTATAGGTGTTAGGGCGAGCTTGCGATGTGTACCCTCCTCCCATAAGCAATTAACGTTAATTAGACTCAGCCGTTGGAAAGCCTGTAAATCCTCGGCGCGTACATAGCAGAGCCTGAGCGAAGGGTCGAGCCCGAGCCTAGAGGATATAGACTCGGGGCTTGTCTCTTGCTCGCCGCGCAGCTAAATAGTCCGTACAGCGATAGTTATACTTGTGCGGTACGTCTATGTGCTGCTGCTGCGAGTTCGTTGCAGTTCCTCTCCTCCTTGCGCTCGTGAATCGTCGAGCTGCTGCTATTGCGCACGTATCGCGTAAGCCTATTTGCAGCGATACCCATCGAATAAGTCAGCTGCGGCAGTTCTCATTGAAAGAATCTCCCGAATGGCCGTCCGTAGAGATGACGAGACTATGCGACGGGCTATGAATGCGTCGTAAGCGACTAAGACCTCTTCCCGAGCGCGAACGGTACCTATCGCACTGCTATTTGTGCGAGTGCGCGCAGAAAAGTGAAAAAAGCTGCACCGAAGTCGACGCAAAGTCGCGAGAGTTGCGATGTATGGCATAATATCGATCGGTCGTATGCTGCAAGCGAGAACCAGGCTTACATTTGTATTCCGTCCGAGAAATTCGACTCGCGCACCTATACGCTCAGGCGGCATTAAAATTTGATGCAGCGCAATTTTTCTGCGCCACATCGCTCGCTCGTGGCTTATGCACGTTCGAAGCCTATATTATATTATGCGGATTCGGGCTCAACAATGCGAAGTAAATAGATTCTGATGGCTCTCGAGTCGGTGCGGGCGCACTGCGGCAAAACTAACAGAGACTTTCTAGATATTCGGAGCAGCCTATACCTACGCGTGTATAAAGAGATTGCCTCGTCTATCATGCTTTACTGCGGCGACGCTGCGCGCACCTCGTGCGTAAACGCGTATGCACACGAGCAAACAGACGCGAATACAGTGTTCGACACGAGGAAAAAATATACGTATAATATGATCAAGATTCGATGTGTGTACAGGGTCGGAGAGAAAGAGAGAGAAAAATAGCGTAGAACCAGTGCAGGATGCGTTGTAAATATACTGGCGTTTGGGGAAAGAAAAATTTCACGAGGGTGCGCTAAATCGTTTTCATTTTCGGCAAAAGCAGCAGCTCGTGAGCTCGGCCCGAAGGGCGCCAATACATCAGCGGCTAAGTGCGTGCGCGACTCGAGGGAGAGAGAGAAAAGAGAGCAGATAAGACTCGCTCACACGAGCACACACGCGCGCAGACTAGCTGCTCACGGGCGAAACTGGAGAATTGACGAGCTGCTCGAGAAGCGACGCGCGCCTATGTACGTAAAGAGAGACAAACAAAGGCCCAGAAACGATGTGCGGAACAATGCGCGCGAGCTGCACTTGTTAGCGCCAAAGCCGAGCCAACTGTGCGACACGCGCAGCCCATTATATTATGTGTATCACCTACTCCGGGGGGCTATATGTACTACCCATTACTGAGGTGCAAAGCCGTGCGCAGCCAAAGAACGTTCCAGTCGATTTCTGGCCACACATAATACGCAAGCACGTACCGATCATCGTTATCTATTTAATGCGCGGAGTGAGCTGCATCATGCACAGTCAGCTCGAATCCGTTGGCGGTCCGACTGACCCAAAGCCGCTGCTCGCTGCAACGAGGACACCTCGCCGATTCTCTCGCTCGCGTCCACGCCGTCACAAAATAGTATATAACGCGGCTCGTTTATGGGTGACATCGTTATTTCTTAGGTCTATAATATACGCCGCCGAGTGAGATTTGGCAACGCCGTCGAACGCACCTGCATGTAAGCCGCAATTCATATGCCGCGCGATGTATCGATGATGAATGGAACAAAGCGCGAGAGAGACGATATGACTCGAGAGGAACAAAGTGTAGTTGCAATTCATCGGGGAATGCGCATTCGCGATCGATTTGTGTTCATTTCTTTTTTCTTCTTCGTCGCCGTCTCCGACAAAGTACGATTAAGACCTGCGAGCAATCATCGACTCGCGAGACTTGAAATGACTGGCAGCTGGTGCGCCAATCGAGCTCTCTTATACAGAGACTAGCTCTAGGCGCACTCGAGTCGCGATCGCATTATTGAGCACACAACGCACATAATAAAAGAGAGCTAGAGGACGCTATGCTAATTTATTCAGATTGGGCTACATCGAGAGCTGCAGACGCAGTGTGTACAAGATGCTCGTATATGAGCAATCCCGTGAAAAATTCGTAAAATCCGAGACTGAAATAGCCATTAAAATTTTTGTCCATCGACCCGTGTAATGAACGTTGATAATTCATTGAGGTCTCGGTAACATGGGAAAATTCGGAACAAAGTAGTCGGACCAATCTATGACCGGGTACCAGTAAATAACGATTTAGAGAAATATGATATGAAAAACAATTAAAAATATATTTGTATAGACGACATCTTGTTATTCATGTCCGATCATCATATAACAAGGAAGAAGCATAATTATTACATATTCAAAAGTGGTCATTTTTGATCGAAAGCGGTCAATCACTGATTCAAATACTATACAGCTATTTTTATTTTTCCGAAGAATCGCATTCTACCGTCAACATAACTATTTATTCGTTCATTTAAATTGTATCCGAAAAAAAATCAGTCGAGTTCAAAAAAACATGAGATATGCTGCAAAATGGTATCATAAATAATTTATGTACAAAATGGTTCTGAAGTGAATAGTTCTGAAGCGATTCAATTCCGAATAAGTCACAAAACAAAATATGTAGAATTCAGTCCAAGCAAAGTGCACTGAAAAGTGACTTGAATTATAACATCTATATAAATTAAAGGGTTTCAAATTTTATTAGATTTATTATTAATAATTTGATACATTTTACTTTGCAAATTCATTGATTTTTTTGAAAAATTTAGTATAGTTTTTACGTAATGAGATAACATTGAAGAGACTTAAGATATGCATTATAAATATAAATATGAATTGATCTGCCGATCATGTATATTAAATTTTATAAGTTTATTAAGTTGTTGAATCAATAGGGATTTTCAGATTACTCTTCGTTTAGAATTTCTTTCCGCATGTATCGCCTCGCTATTTGATACCTTTGTGCTTTAATTTGATATGCATATTGAGATGACCCTTTTGTGAAAACGTCTTGCCGCATACATCACATTCATGTGTAATACAATTATGCAATGAATCGATGTGGGATTTGAGGCTACTTTTATGTGTGAATGTCTTCATACATATATCACATTTATGAGTAATTTTATTATGGACCGAATCGATGTGGACTCGGAGATAATACTTGCGTGTAAAAGTCTTTCCGCATATATCGCATGGATATTTGATACCCTTATGCTTTAATTGGATATGCATATTGAGCTGACCCTTTTGTGAAAACGTCTTGCCGCATACATCACATTCATGTGTAATACAATTATGCAATGAATCGATGTGGGATTTGAGGTTACTTTTCTGTGTGAATGTCTTCATACATATATCACATTTATGGGTAATTTTATTATGTACCGAATCGATGTGAATTTGGAGACTACCTTTTTGTGTGAATGTTTTCGTGCATATATTACATGCATAAGTAATTTTATTATGCACAGAAACGACGTGAGTTTTTAGATGAGATTTCCGTTTAAACGTTTTTCCACATGTACCACAGTTGTAGGTTAACTTTTCTTTCACTTTTCGTTTTTTATTTTGGTCACAGTTCAAATTCATGTTCAATTTGTTTGCATTGTCTTCGCCCAATAATTTTTTTACTGTATTAAAAGGTTCTATTTTAATCATTTTAAGATTTGTATAAACATCGCCATATTTCATAAATTGCCTGTGATTTTTAGAATAATCTTCAATCTTTTTAACTGCTGACGAATCCACTTTAGGTTTGACGTCTTCACATTCAAAAACTATTTTCACTTCACTTTCATGATTTTTATCACATTTTAGATGCCTGTAAGTCTGTAAAGAAATAAAAGCTATGTGAGAATTTTCATAGAAAAAGAACTACAGAAAATCAATTAAATATAAATTATCAACACTTACTGAATTTTCTGGTAGAAATGACAAGAGTTTGACGTCTTTAATATCGGGTTTTTCATCAATCACATCAGGTTCATTTACTCTAAGCGACCAATCACTAGGTTCGTCTCTCACTCTGAAATAACCTCAATATGATTATTATGTTATAGATTATTTCTAAATCAAGTTTGAGAAAATGAAGATTACGTGATGGGACAATTGAATAAACCACTGAATTCCATCTTTTCTTTGTAATTATATTAACAATTAACCTCTATACAATGATTTCATAAAAAGAGCTACTATTTATACACTGAAAGACTGGCGAAGTACACTGTACTGTGCTCACTATATTTTGAAAAACTGTGTCGATGCGTCTAGAGCGCCTGCTCAATTTCGCCAACTTCGAAGCATACTCAGTCCTTATCCATGTAGTATAGCGCTATGGCAGGCACGTCAAAACTCCGTGCCGGGCAAATACGAAGGTCATACTTCGTAAACAACATAACGAGCACAGCTCTGTAATGCTCTTTGTTAGTTTTTCCCTGTAGCCCAAGTTTAATTTAAAAATAATATTTCTATCAATGATTTATATTTTATAGGAAAAATGATAAATTCATTCGGTGCGCGAAACACACCGAGAGCTGGTTTTATGAAAATTACTATGCCCCAGCAAATTTTACTATACGTTTAATAGTAATAATTTCTTTTTATGTAGTAAAATTTACTATACATGGCGATTTTCATGGGTTTTTGAGAGTACCTCAGTTGCTATGAAAATAATTATTTTTTCGAAGGTATTTTCAGGATTTTTTTATAGAATCGTTCATATATAATATAGGCGCTAGCTCCGTGACTAGGTGTTTGTAGCAGTGCAGGCGGACGACGGCGTCGAATCCGCACTAATCGCGAGCGCCGTCATTTTCGACCCTGTTTATAATTCACGATCAATCGTGACACAGCCGTCCGCAGCGAAGCTGCCAGCGACAACCTTGTAGGTCGCGATCAGCGCGAGACGGAGAGAGGAAAAAAAGTCGAGCTCTTATTGTGTATAAGTAGCTCAGCCGAACGACTGCACACGCGCGACTATGTAGATATACGTGTACCGAGGATCGGCTAATCGTAATCCGCGTCAGCTCCTGCAACTCTGCGTTATATAAAAAACTCGAAGCAATGAAGAGAGAGAACACCTCCATATATATATGGTCGATCGAATCGAACGCGAACCGCTGCGCATCTTCAACTTTTTGGATCGTAATATCATTTATGGCGCGACCGCCGCGATGACGCGTACCACATTATACGAGCATCGTTCTATGTGTCCAGTGAATCGAACGATCTCGAATAATGGTCCTACGTGACAATGCGCGGAGGAGACTCGGCACGTCGCTAGTCCTATATTTGCAGCAGCCATGTGCACCATCACGATTGTCTACGCCTCGAAAGCCAAGTCGGCGGGAATATCTCTCTCGTGAAAGTGCAAAAAAGTACACGTCGCTGCCTGTGCGAGGGCTGCTTCTACTGCGAAAGCTCGAGCTATAGCTCGGAGCTGCTGCTATACGTCGAGACGAGAGACAAGAAAAGCGAGATATAGGCAGAGTCGCCCTTTTTGGTCGCGCGGCGCTCGCAAGTTGCACGGCGCATGCCGCAGATCGATATAACGCAATCACTTAGCGAATATTAATAAATGAGCGAGGTGGCTGCGAGGACGCCCTCGTCATTTTCTTGCAGCTCGTCCTCGTCGTCGTCTGCAGCCTACGTATTACAAGACCTGCAGCTCGTGCCGCTATAACTGCATTTATTATTATCATTATTATTATTATTATAGGTACCCCCATGCGCGCCGCGTTGTTTTATCGAGTCGGTAATTAATTAGCTATTTCGGAGGAAAGCTGCTACGCCGGGAGGACGCGTCTAATGAAAAATGGCCTTCGCGTAGTTTACGTTTAGTTATATACTGCAGGCAAATGCTTCATGAATGAATGACTAGGAAGGTGGTATACGATGGCTCGACGTTTCGAGCCGAGCTCGGAGCACTCGAGTTTTGAGTCTCGACTGCCTCGCGCTACTATTATACCTCATACGTCCCGAGTTCATTTTCCAATGCGATTACTCGTCCGCGCCTATACCTATATAAGAGTCGCGTACCTCTCCCGGCTCCGCCACATTTTCAGCTATGCGCTATATAGCTATACAGGACTGCCAGTATACGGAGGCGCACGTATCTCTTCTGTTGGCGAAAATTTCGCGCCCGCGTGCTATATAAGCGAATACGTGTGCTGCGCACCATACACGATTCCTGCTCTCTCTCTCTCTCTGCTTTAGCCCTAGCAACGCTATTGATTTCCTACTCTCTTGGCTTCTACTTCGTCGACTCTCTCTCTGCTATAAATGTGTGTATGTGTGTGTGTGTGCGTCGAGCAGCATCGCGCCCGCTATGTACGGTTCTCTCTTGTGCCGTACGTACACTGCGTGCAGCCATCAACGGAGCCTCGCGCGCGAGAAATACCCGCACGGCGCAGTCCTGACGTCGAGCTCTGCTGCTCCGAGTACGGTGTAGTCGCTTTTACACCCCGTCGCGCTCCTTCGATAGTACATATTCGCCGCCTCAGAATTCGAGCTTACGTTGTATGCGCGCCTGTAACGTAACGTCGTGCGCTGCACGAGACGACCTATCGCAAGCTTTGCTCTGTGTACTCTTCGCTCGCCGACTATATAAACCTATTCCCTGTGTAGACGACAATCAAATTTCCAACTGATTCTCTGCTCTCTCCCTTGTATACTCGCGCTTGCTTATGCACACAAATATGGACGAGTGAGATCAAGGATTCTATTGTCGCCGCTGGCGTTTCCAACATTTGCTACGTACGACCCATTGGAGCTCCCACAAAAGCTCCGGTTTGCGTACTGCTATATAGGACCTTGATTATCGACTGTGCCCACGTCGAGTCGTCGATTCGATTAGTTCGAGTGCTGTGTTTCGGCCGCAGCTTAATACCACATAACGTAACGCAGCAGCAGCAGCTCCTATTTCGCATTAAGACACTCTGGGTAATCCAACGCTCCTTATCATTTTTCGCCGCGCTAATTTTCACGCGAGACAGATTGTATCGCGTGCGAGCAATATAAATTCGTTTCATCCCGCAAGCTGCCGAGCTGATCGAAATCCGAGAGGGAGGGAAGCTGCTTTTTATCTCTTCTTTTTGAGTAGACGCGCCTGCCTCGATGTATCGGGATGATATCGTTAAAGCGAGCTAACTGCAAATTCGTGCCGCACGCAGCTTACATTGTCCGTGCAATTAAGGAGAATCAACGACGACAACGAGGCCGACGATACAAAGAATCCTCCGAAAAGCTCATTGCGCTAATTCATCCGAATCCTCCGCTTCAAACTTTAATACGGCCAAATATATACCACCGAAATTTATTTGCTTTCTTGCGGACCCGACTTTTTACGTGTTCCGAGCTGTAAGCGACCGACATCGTGTAGCTTATTGCCTTAAATTGTCCAAAAAGACCGAAGAAGAAGACGAAGAAGAAAATTTTTTTGCGGAAAAAAACGAATCGCCGGTTTTATTTTACACAAATAGTCTCACGGTTTACTGCTGTAATCCATTCGCTTCGGCGTAGCAACGCCGGAAGAAAAACGGCTACCGTCTAATACCCTACGTGATGTGTGAGTGTGCGCATGTATACATATAACTATATACAAATGATCTGGATAAAGAGGCTTCTTTCTCTCTCGAATTTTACCTAGCTACGTAGCTCTAATGCACGCTGAAAATAAAATCGTATCTGACACGAAAAGGCTTTTTCCTTAATTCAGGCCGCGCTTAAGTACACATATAAAAAAATTCTTGGATATACTTCACGCACGTATTTTTACATCTCAATTGTATTGAAACGCCGTAAACAATCTATTATTTCCCGAATCATTTCTCGATGAATGTGGAGAAAAAAAATTACCATGCGTCGATTGAGTAAATAAAGTGTATTCGACTAACAACAAAAAAAACTCGCTACGTATGTTTTGTTGCAATTTTCGAATCACCGCTCGAGTTGTATATTCTGACGAATGAGCTCGTAAATGGCAATGATGTATCCTCGGAATGTCCATCGTTTGTTTTTCTGCACAAAAATTTAATTAAATACTCAATCATAGCGCTGCCAGTAAAGTATAAACAATTCAACTTTGGCTATAATCTCATAAATTTTGCAAAAAATGAAAAAATGATTGAGTTATAATTAAAAAAAAATTCTCGAACATGAGCTTCGTGCATATAAATAGATTCATAAAAAGTCAATGTGATCACTTTCAAGTAAAAATTTAAATCCCCACACTTGTGTACATAGATAAAACGCAACATGCGTTATACACACAGTAGACGTTGTTTTCGTTTTCAAAACGTTTTCAAAAACCCACAACATTATTTTAAATTTTCACACGTTCGGACTTGGAATCTCGCTGATATTTACCATTTGAAACCGTTTGAAAGCAAGCAAACACGTGATAATTTCCAAGATACATGAATGATAATAAAAATAGACAATCGCCAATCCTTACTAAAGATACAAATTTATCGATGATCAGAGACTAGATGAGGGTTTCAAATGTATCGTTTTTTTTTGTACAGACCTCGATGACATCATATTGAGTCATGGATTCATCGCTCGTTAATCACTCGTTCAACACTCGTTAAGAGTAATGTACACGTGTTGAAATGATTCGAGAAGATGCGCAGCTACTGCTGCTACTCGTTGAATTTTATAATCGACGCAAACATTTATGCAAAATTTTAGCACCTTATCATTTCTGTCAATGCTGGTTAGCGTAGATATTTTTTTCTACGGCTGACACTCATTTATATTTCAAGTCGCGCGCAGCAAAGTAAAAACAAATAAATGGCGCGCTCGAAAGTTTGCCAATGATTAGGTAGCGCGAAGCAAATTGAATCGCGTCGAAATTTACTTTCATAGAGACGTGCGCGCAGGTAACGTTAGTCGCTCGATCATTACGTAAGGCAAAAAACACATAGAGGAGCGCCACATAATAGAGCTGGCCGTAACACACAGCCAAGCTGGCAATATTATCGTTAAATTGTATATAAAGGTCGTCCTCTCTCTTTCTCTCTCTGAGTCGGCAAAATGATGTCAGAAGTAAAGTTCAATTGCGCGTGAAGCATGTTCCCGTTACATTTCGAACGTGTGCGGCGGGCAAAGCTATGCTCTAAGACGACCAAATGATTATGCTGTTAGCTTTGGGTTATAGCATAAGCTCGGGTCCATAGCTATGCTCGTAATTTCGACGACCGGCTGTTCACACC